TTTCCAATAACTTATAATTGCTGTGTTAAAGAGCTGCGCCTTTAAAATCAAAATATTAATTAGTGCTGGAAGTAGTGTTTAGAATTGAGAGATTCATACATTTTTATTTATCAAATTACATACTTTACGTATATAATTATTTGGCGAGTGTATGTGATAATAAGTGTTTGGCCGGCAAGTTGACATCCTTCTGCTTCTTCCCCTACTCAGCTGACTTCTATGGTGAGTTACAATGCATAAATATTTTTCTCACTGTCGTTTTTTTTCAAACCAACATCATTAAAATCAATTTAATAATACAGTAATCAATTTTACGCTGAATAACATAAGTTTTTGGTGATCAGCATGGGATATGTCAATGAAAATTAGCACAAATTAATTTAATGATATTGGTCTGAGGAAACTACAAAATGCTACAAGATTTCATTAGTCCAGAGATTGATAACTAATTTAAATGTAATTTTATGTTTGTCAACATGCCACACCGTATACATAAGTGTACTAATACTCTTAATGATTATGCTATAATTAATTACTAATAATACGTTAGCTTAATGCATGAACTTTAACAAAACTGGAAAGGTATTTATGAGTAAATTTCTTGGGACTGGGCCCTCGTCTTATAAAAAAAGAACTTACTGGGCCGCGGTCTCATAAAGGTTGAGAAGCACTGATCTAGACTATCGGCTCAAAGATGGCGGTAAGGTTGTCAGCCTTATGCACCGGCCGTGCTTTACTCCCCAGGAAAATTGTTTATTTGATTCCTGGTACTCATTTCTGTTAGAGGCTGAGTGAACCCCAGGGTCATAGTGTGGCCGGAAGGATTAGGTCAATTGAAAAAATCCAATGATCTCATCGGTATTTGAACCCGCGACCTTCTGACTTGTAGCATAGTGCCTCAACCACTATGCTACTGTGTGCCCCCTCATTAATATAGTAGGTAACTTTACTTATAAACTAGACTTCACTTTAGAAACACAATTTCTCATTCTTCCCTAAAGCTTAATATAGGATTGTTCCTACATGAGAGCACAGTACTCTACTGATGAACTGAGAAAACAATTTTTAAAATAAAATTTAACAAGTTTTTGGGCATAACTCACATAGATTTTGACATGATAATAAAGTGCGATGAAATGCACTCTTTCATACACCTCATGGTGTAAATGTCACTGTTGCTTGACAACTCCAGTGTTGAGTAAGCAGAAATAAAACAAGTCTTTTGCAAGCAAAGCATACAGAATTTATCAGACAGGTCCCATGGTAATAAATTATACCCAAATACAAAACTCTTTAGTATTATAATATACACCACAAAGAAAAAAATATCAATGTTATCAACACTTATACCAATCAGGCTAAACTATGCATATATTGTACTTCCTCTAACTTTCCACTGAATTTCAACTGGTATTCCACTAGTCTAAGTTTGTCACTTGCATTCCGGAATGAACTGTTTCATTGTGAACATAAAATGTTAGGACAGCAATATCAAAACAAGGAAATTTTACTTTCAATTGAATCCATTTGATAAAGTAAATAAAGTATCCACATTAATGTCTTAACTGGAAACAAACCTGTTTAAGCGAGTCAAGAGCAAGTGTGAATTGATGGGCAGACTCTCGTATTGACTCTTCACCACTAAGACTTGGTAATGGCACAAAGTGGGCTGCTGATGCAGAGCATTCCTCTGCCGTGGGATTCAAAAATAAACCAGCCCAACTGTAGTTGCCTGCAAAAATAATCTTATTCAAACTATTTGCTAAAAGCCGGTAATCCTAATACCAATTCAGTATGAACAGGAGCTGGGATAGCATAGTCAGTATAATGACTAGATACAGGCTTGACAGCCAAGGGGTCAGAGTTTGAGTAAGATAGGGGTAAGATTTTTCTCTTCTCCACACCACCCAGACCGGTTCTGGGGCCCATCCAGCCTCCTATCCAATGGGCAGGGACTCTTCCTCCAGGGTAAAGTGGCCAGGGAGTGAAGCTGACCAGTCACTTCCAAATAGTGCCAAGGTCATGAATGCATGAATCTATACATCCACTGCCCCATATGCCTTCATGGATTAGTGCTTAATTAGTTATGCACAGCAACAACTTTACATTTTTTTCAATTCAGTACCAACAAGATCTGATAGTCACACGGAATTATATTGACCTATGTTGATATAGCATATTACAGAGTGCTAGGCTTATGTTTGCTACTATATGCAAACAGCCATACTCCATCTTGAGTAAGTCCATGGTAGCTGCTAACACTGTACTGAAGAAACAAAGTATTTATCTTGAGAAATGCAAACAAAATTTTAGGAAGAAAATATGAAGCAAAGAGACCAGTTGGCACATTCAGGAAAACAATAAGAGGGTATTTGGAGGATAATATTTAGATGGATCTTAAGGAAATATGGTGTAAGGATGTGAACAGGATGCAAATTGTTCAGGATTGGGTCCCATGGTATTGTATTATGAATACAGTAATGAACCATCAAGTTCCATAAGGGACAATGAATTTCTTAATCAGTTACATGACTGTCAGCTTCTATGGGATTCTGCTTTAAAGAGTTCGTTGGTTTATCTTAATGAACCCCCAGGCATTTTATATAAATATGACAGACATATTCAGAAACTTCTGAATGAAAAGCTGTTAGTTTCTATCTAAATAAGAAGGGACACATCAAGTTTGTTAAAAAAAAACAACAAGCAAGTGAACTATACTGACCGAGTTATGGCCGCTTGTTGGTGAAGTTAGTGCCAACTTTAACGGATAGAGGGTATTGTGTGGTCAGCACAATGAATCCCCATTGCTGTTAATTTTGGTTTTCTAGACCAGAGCTGATATTTCCTTGAAATAGCTCCTCAATTATGCACATGAGGCTGAGTGAACCCCGTTCCAAACCACTATGTCTCAGAAAATCTGGTATCACCGGAAATCGAACCCAGACCTCTGACCACTAGACCACAACAAGAAGTTTGTTAAAGGAAGGTAAAAATAAGAGTCTCAGAAACAGAAGCGAATGTCACTCACCAAGACTTTTATACATGAATGTCAGGTAAAGGCACAGAATGAGTGGAGCCACATACTGTAGTGCCACCACACAGAGATAGTAGAAAACAGCTGCTATCTGTTGGAGAGACAAAATATTATACTACCAACAAATTACAATTATAATAAATGTCTACGTACCACAACTGCCACTACATATTTATAATTGATACAACCAACACTTTCCCAGCATTTTAGATCATAAAATATGACACATAAAATATACAAATGCCATAGTTTGTTAAAAGTTTGTCTGGAAATAATGCAACTTACTTGCATATTTACTAATTTATTTAGACAGCCAAATATGTCAAATAAAAGAAAACAAAACACAAAAATAACTTTTTATGCTACATGTATTCCTCTCCTGCCATAACACATGGAATATGTTCTGATAAAAGATTATACAAAGTGAATTCATTGATAGTATGTGAACCTATTTTAAATAGCAATAGCATATGCATGTTCTGTACCACCTGCTTCAAACATCACACCACAAGATCCAATTTTCTGAGGCCAACCTAAAGGATGCACATGCAGAAACTTAATTCTTTGTCACAAAGCTTGACCTGATGCTATGTAACACAGACACAATTAACAGCCTCCATACTTTTACATCTATGAGTAACGTACTTACTTACTTACTCATGGAGCTGAGCCCTTCTTGAGGAGCTGCCAATTCTGCAGCTACTCATGAATTTCCCAGGATTTTATGGAACCTGAAGGTTCATCACCATGTTCACAAGAGCCCTCCACTGGTCCCTATCCTGAGCCAGATCTATCCAATCCATACCATCCCATCCTATCTCTCTAAGATCCATTCTAATATTGTCCACCCATTTACGAATTGGTCTTCCCTGTGGTCTCCTTCCTTCTGGCTTTCCCACCAATATCCTATACGCATTCCTTGTCTCCCACATTCGTGCTACATGACCTGCCCACCTCATCCTCCTTCACTTGATCATTCTAATTATACTTGGAGAAGAGTACAAGTTATGAAGCTCCTCGTTATGCAGTTTTCTCCAACCTCCTGTCACTTCATCTCTCTTCGGTCCAAATATTCTCCTCAACACTC